GTAGAATGAATGCAAAAAACTCGAGAAGAAGGAGCGCAAGCACATAAAAATGAATGACATAGTTCTGACGCGCATGCGCGTCAGCCTGTCGTCAACGTGTTAATCTTGTTACCATAATATTTGCCCACCATGTGTAATAGCTATAGCCATAACCTTGCCACACTTTCACACGGAGGTTTTGATTTATTGATCTCTCGTGTTTCGAAATAGCCCATTTATACCTAAGGCAATTTATTGATTACCAGTAATGAAGTAATTGAAGATTTAATAAGTACTGGTGGAAAAAATATGGAAGAAAGGTGCCCTAGTGCGCGCATAACGGCTGTCGTCAATAAGCTGTGTCGCGGATGCGACGGTTGCCCGTGGGCGCACCGTGCGCCCCGGCCCATTCGCGCTCGGATGCCAATGCGCAATGCGCCCATTGCGCCATTGGCTCCGCCCCTACGGTCGGTGCCAGCCGTTGTTCGCCTACTATCACCGCGCTGAGCGGTCGCGTCCACGCTGTCTGCCTAGCTGCCAGGTAAGTCATTGATAGATGTGCAACCCTTTGCAGCTGAGGTCCCTGCTTGGAACGGGTACTACGTTGTCCCAAGGCTGGTATCCGGTGGCAGGTCGGTCTTCACCGGGCAACGCGAGGAGGCCACCTAAGGCGAGGGGGCACGTCGCCCCTGAGTCCAAGTCGGCGGAGCGCCCGCCGTAAAGCCGGTCGTGTTCCACCCCTGCTCCCCGTCTGGGAGCAGCCTGTCATCATGCCCCAGCGAGGACACGCCGACCGTAAGGTGCCCAGAGAAATGGTCCCGAGCGGGATGGGGGTCTAATACGTGCAGTCAGCTGGCCTGGTCTGCCCTTGAGCGAGGTGGCCGAGGGAGATCGGAAGGTAATGGTGAGTTAATGCGTATAATAAATATGTATGTATTTTGTGCCCTGTGTTGTTCATGGTCCTTTGCCTTATCATATTTGTTATCTATCATGGGGTTGTTATCGTTGTCATGCGCAGGTGTAGCGGGGAGCCATGTAGGGGTCCGTGTATGGTGCACGGCGGTAGGATCCCCATGGTCCCTGGAGGATTGGTCCGTCTCGCCTGCGAGGGTGCGCAGGCGAGGCGTCGTGGTCTCGATGGGGCTCTGGAACCCAAAAGGTTCCGGAGTGTGTGGTTGAGCGCTCTATACACCGGTGCTGTCGTCCCAGAAACGAGTGCTGTTCACGACACTATGGATACCAGCTCTCGTCAGCTGTTATCACTCCCTATCTCCCTTCCCCACATAACACATAGTGGTATAGATATTTTAGTATCAATGCAGAAGGCGTAATGGGAGTGGTGCATTTTCCACTCTAACGCTCCTTACCGTTACCACTTTACCCATCTTCAGTGCTCCCGCCCTATATCATATCTTGTACCCAGTATCTGACCATCACTGCTGGACGTGCTATTTCTTCGTGACCCACGACATACCTAGCGAATCACAAATGGGAGAAAAAAGAAACATGCTGTAAAAACAACTGTTGCTACAACAGTTCGGTTGTGAATATATTGTCAGCGTATAGCCAGGAGTTATAAGATCCAATTGAAATGAACACACACACATATAGATCAATGCTTCGACACCATGTTTAAAAAACCACTGAGTGAACGATCGGTTTCCGAATCTTCCTCTTTTAAGAGACGCTCCAGCGCCGAACCGCGCCGTTTACGACTGCGTTTAGCTTGATTCTGCCTGAATAATCGAATGTTCAAAAAAACGGCATATAACACACTTGTAATAAGAAGAAGTTTGAAGCATACAGGCTAGTAATCCTGGAGTACGGAACTGGTGACGCCTTTGACTTATTCAGAGGTGTTGATACCGCACATATTGCACTTTCATCGAATGTTGCATCAAACACGCCAGAAGAATTCGTAATGTTCTCTGAAATGTCACTTCATTATATGAACCAGACCTTGGTGTGCCGACTTGTCGGTCTGGGTGTCGGGGTGTGCGCACGCAAAATGGAGGATAAAATAAACCAACTCAACAGCAGCGAGGAGCTCGAAGGTATGCTTCGGGATGTTGATGTCATGATACAATAACATCCACAACCGCTATATTAAGCCCATATCTCAAAGTCTGACTGGACGTGTCACCAGAAATGGCGTGGCGGCCACTGCACTTGATAGAAGTCGTGTTCAGAAGCTGCCTAAAATACTTCGCTGGATATCAGCAAAGCATGCCGGAAACGCCTCATCCGCGCAACTTCTATCAAGTGCCGTGACTGCCACATCATTTCTAGTGACACACCCAAACAGATGTGGACTGTAAATACCGATCGCCCACTCTCCGTCATTCCACATGCTGCCGTAGCAGGTGGAGGGGGAGCAAGGGAGGGCGGGGAGTGAAAGGAAGAGGAATCATCGCTTTTGATTCTAAGGTCCAATGCAGTGTTGAGGTATTACTCTAACGTAATTTCAGGGGAAGGGAGGTCAGGAAGGAAAACTAACCGCTCATAAAACTAAGATTCAAAGCAGTGCTGAGGCACTATTCTGGCGTGACTACACTCCGTTGCAAAACTATACGACATACCCCAAATTTTGGGCTTCTGGAGTTGCGAGAGACTATGCGCCAAAATGGCTTACACCATTCATTTCGGCGTGTACAGAACCAAGCAACAGAATTTCCAAGCAGTTTTATCAAATTCCAGAAATCTAGGGTCAAAAAATCGAAAAAACAGCCGTTGCAAAATAATACGACATAGCAGAAATTTCGACAATTTTTTTTACTTCAGTAAAATTTTTCCGCAATACTTCACAGTCGTATCAGTTTTGCAGGGAGTTAGTCTTAGGATACGCCGTTGAACGATCTCACCTTGAAGAGCCGATCTAACATGTTTCCTACCGAATGTTTATAGGCCTCCTCCTAGACCAGTGCGTACTTTTTGATTAGCGCTTTTTTCAGGCGATGCACGGAATTGTACCGACTGCCCTAGGAATAAAGGCTACTAGCGAGAATGCCGTATAGGTTTCCCACCGGATTTAGACCTGACTAAGGAGTGGACCTTTCGAGTGAATGCACAGGTAGGCTACAATCCATATCGAAGTCGATTTAATAACATGGATAGCAGCCTTGTAC